CATTACTTGCCAATTTAACTCCACGTTCTATTTTTATATTTTTTTAATGAGGAAAAATGCACTTAGATACAGCACAAGGCCACCCAATAATGTGTTACTGTAATTATTCATGCTTTTCAGGTTTACATGGCAGAGATCATTGTAGTGTACTTTCAACCTATATGCAATATTTAGATAGTACTTTTATGCTCCCTTGTCAGTAATTTGTACTATATATGCTATAGTCAAACCACACACGTACCAAGGAAACAATATTTCTGAATTAAACCATTGTCTGTCATATCAGTATTTATGTATTACATGCCAGCACAATACAGCTGTCAGGTGACCAGGGCTGATAATTGGTTACATCCTGTCATCCTCTTTTTAAATGTTTTAATATCAAGCTTCATGTTATTTAGTTTTTACAAACCAATATCTTTGTGCAAATTATTATATTTGCTTTATTAAATTAGATTCACTGGCTAGTGCTACATGAATATTAGCTAGACTATAGCATTATTGTAACAATAACAATGCTGTGTGACTGTGTGAGTGTCTCAGGGCTGCTGCTGTGTGTGTCATGGTTTTGTGTGTCTAAGTAAAATGGCCTGTTTGTTACAAAGAGACTGGTTATGAAGAAGGTAAAACACGACTAAGGATACAGCAGGCTGAAGGTAGCTGGTTGACATAGGGAGTTTGTTTAGGTCTTACTCTGTGACTCTGTGTAAGTTGTGCTTACATTTCAGGACTGGGATAGAGTGGATATGACACTCTGTGATATACTGTGTGTGTGTGTGTGTGTGTGTGACTCTGTAAGAGTCAGACTGTGATATACTGTTTGGACAGTGAGAGGCTCTACCTGCTGTGTGACTCTGCTGTTTCTCCTCAGTCTCCCCCCCAGAACAGGAATCGCCCCCAGATCCTGCACTCAGCTGTAATGAGGGAGGTGAGGAAGAGGATGAGTTCAGCAGCCTGTGGTCCACAGCCTTCTCCTTCATCATCCTCTTCCTCTTCAGTCTGGTCTACAGTGCTTTTCTCAGCCTCATCAAGGTAAATCCACATTTAGTGTGTTTCAGAAGTCAAAACATTTTAATGTAAATCTGATCCAATTAATTGAAAAGTAATTTGTGCTAGATATTAATACAATATACAGTCCCTATTACCTTGTGTGTTATATAGTCTGACCATCTATCTTAGAAAAGCCTCTTTAGCAGTTAGACCTGCAGAGATGATGGAGTCTCAGGAAGCACACAGCACAGCA